TAAACTCAGAATTCAGTTGACCTTTCTTTCGAAAACCTGTGATAACTACTTAAGTTCCTCTGATAAATTGCCTGATAAAATTTTGTCGGACAGAATTTTCAAATAATCCCTCTACTAATCTTATTTTAGAATGGCGGTGGCAATCCCACCCGATTCGGCCACCGTCTCTAGAGTAGTGGAGGTATGAACCGAATTCTATCAGTCATTTCCTAAATGCTTTCGGATTTTTAATAACTTATTTCAACATAGGGAAGATGTTCGAGTTGACTGATAGAATTATCGGTACTAATTCCCTCCACTACCCTCATTTCAGGACGACGGTGGCCTTCTCACCCGACCCCGCCACCGCCTCTCAATTTGTGAAATTATTTTCAATTGTTTCCAGCTGTTTTAAACCGAAAATTGTTTTTCATAAAGTGACTTCAAAACTCCCTTAGCCATCCAATGACAGCAGATAGCTTTTAAGAATCTCAAATTAAATTCGTAAGTGTTCTGCTAACGAATTTCCGAAATATTACAATGCCCTTGTGATTATCTAACTTTTCCAGATCGTCTTCTTCGCCAGGAAGTGATCTGGTCCAGTCTTCTGGCCAATAGAATTGTTCGCGAAAATTTGAAGTCATAATTCGTGATTTTCTTCTGAAACGAAGAATGGAATCACATTAAAAATCGCCAAAGTTTCATTGGCGATTTTGTATCTTCCTAATTCCATGCCACTTATTCTTCAACCACTCCAAAATCAGTGGTGTTTCAAATTGAGGATTTTCAAAATCAGCGAAGAAATTTCAAAAAATTTCCGCTCGAAGCATGGATAAAATCACAATTTTTTCAGGAATTTTCACCTTTTCAGGAATTCACCTGCATTTTTCACTTCAGTTTTCATCTTTTCACCTTAAAATACGGCATGACACTACCGTTTTTGGAATCTGCCAATTCCAGTAGTGATTTATCCCAAAAATAAAATATTCAAATCGCATCCAAAGTAGAAATAAAAGATGCGATGATTTTTTTCGAAGCGAGGAATTAAATATCGAAATTCATCGATGAAAGCCATCGATTTATTAATAATTTCGATGAAAACGATTGACAACTATCGTATTATATGAAATAATTGAATTCTTTTCGCTGAAATAATTGAATGATGTTGAAATAATTTCTAGTTTCTTAACGTCTGAATTCTTCGAAAACGATTTCATATTTTCTAAAAAATTTCTTCTTTATCTTTTTTTCTATTGCTTTATACTTCGATTTCTTACTGTCAGCTTCTGAATCGAAAACGATTTCTCATATATTTCCAGGTTATTTTCCTATTGTCTTCGTTTATTCAGCTCAATTTCTGAAATCATAACCAAAGATTTTCCAGAATCTCTCTCAATTAAGCTATCTATTCTGGAATAACCTTTGTGGAATTCGAATCGTCCGAATGAAATAATCACTTCGTATTTGAAGTGATTTGGTAATTTCCTCATATCAGTTCACTTAAATTTATGATAATTTCGCTATCATATGATAATTTCAGTCGCCACTAAAATCGCCCACTCACGTTTCCCATTAAACCATTTCCCATCCACTTTACTCCCCTTCTTATGCCCACCAAAATGAACTGGTAAGTAGTCATTCTCCCGACCACAATTTTATCCCACCCAACCAAATTCAGCCAATTATCATCCATCTGAAAAATTGAACATTACATCTGAATAAGCGGAATGGCTGATTATTGGCTGATACGGCAATCATAACATAATTTGTAACAATAAAGCAAATAAAATAATGCAAATACAATAAAAAAATGTAACATTGACAAATAAATACAATACAATAAAAATGAAATCATTTTTTTCAATTTGATTTTAATTTTTATGTTTTTTTTGTATTTTACGATTTTATTATTTTTTGTATAATTTTTTTTATTTTTTTCATTTTTTTGTTTTTTTTAATTTTTTGTTTTTTTTTGATTTTTATTTTTTTTTGATTTTTTGTTTTTTTTAATTTTTGATTTTTTTAATTTTTTGATTTTTTTACTTAATTTTGTTTTTTTTGAATTCGAAGCAAAACGAAAATAAACATTAAACAATAATGGAGGAACATTAAACATTGAACAATAAATTTTAAACAAAAATAACGCGAATTAGCAATTGAACAATCAAATAAATTAAGCAAACGAAAGCAAGCAATCAAAATCAATGTGCACTTGATAATAGGACAACTCAACCTGAACTCAATTCCAAAATAATTCGTCTGAATTCGTATAAGTTCAGAGCCATCTTCAACTCATATGAAATATCACTAAGCTCATATAAACACCAGAAATAAATCGTTTGGATGAATGAGTTCAGCTTGATCAAATAAAAACACAACCCAAAAGAATACATCAATTGAAATTACCATAATTATGCATGAACACACATCATAAGATTATACAATAACACCATATTCAACTGAAATATCAGGAGGACGAAATATCAACACATCAATGAAAAGCAATTACTCAATTGAAAAACTCATGATCAATAAATTAAGACGGGTGCATGATTATATGCACACAATAACACCGAACAAATGGTTTGCCTATGCATCAGCTGGCAAGCTGATTTTGAAAAATGAAATTCTCAAATTTCGAAAATTCAATGAATTTTATCCAAAATGATTCAGAAACTGTTCTCGATACATTTCCAATGAATGTATCCAAGCATATTCGAATTCAATCTCATTGAATCGATAAGATATCAATAATGCTCAATAATAATAATGCTCAACTGGATATATCAAATGATATTAATCATTCTAACAGAATGATTATTTCAAGCTTCATTTCATTTCATTCACAAAAACACAACACAACACAATCAAACAAGAGCGGAAGGAACAGCGACGAGAGGGAGATACCAAGTCCCACAGGGGACAACCTGATTGCGGAGGGGACAGTGGATGCCGGCATGAACCTCATACAAGTACTGGCTAATCTCATCCTCGCTAACATCACTCACTCATTCAACTACTCCCGGACCTAATCGACCACAACATCTCACTTATCTATACAATCAAACTCGCAATCATTTTTAATCATAATTCATCTTATCTAATCAATTTTGTCACCTTACGCCGCAGCTGTACTCATCATAATCGGGGAGGATGGGGAAGGGATGTTAGTTAATGGTTAGAAAGATGGATGGGGAGGGGGGGGGGGGGGGAAGAGGAAAGGCAGCCCAACACAACCCAGCCAACGAAGCGCTACAGGGGGGATCATCGGTTCAGAGGACGACAACAACAACAACAATAACACACAATAAAATCACCCCACCAGCAAAACGGTGATGCAAAAATGTGGAAAATAAAACATCTCAAAGGAGCACTCTCCTGGTAGCTTATCAATAGGAACCGTCACTTTCGCGGTAATATGTTTCATTCAAATCGAATTAAACTGTTTGAGAAAAACCCAATCAGAATGGAAACCTATTCAAGATTTCAATATCAGAGTGCCCACTTCTGTGCTCCATTGGATAATCGAAAAAGAATCAAATCGCTAACAGTTAACCGTTTTTGCTGGTGAGGTAGACGTGTCGAGTCGAATCCTTCACGTCCATTGTTGTCGTCCTCCGGAACCGATGACCATCGAATCCCGATCGTTTACGGTTGATCGGGATTCGCTCCCCTGGAGCGCTTCGTCATCCCCGACGTGCCCGCCCCATCCGTCGCCCCTAGGGATAGACGCCGCTTGCCATTTCGCGGCGTCGTTGCCCTAGGTTCCTCAGCTGGGACCGCAATGTGGCTGACGTCGCGGCCCAGCTCCATGAGGTAGGCGACGGTATGGTTCCGCGCCCTGAGTTGTTTTGCGGGCGCGGCGACGCACCTTTCCGCTCGATGTGCGTCCATGTGAATTTTGATTGCGTCCACGGAAAGGTGCGCCGGGACGAGCACGCGGTACCCGCACCACGTGCACAGGGCTGAAATTTGATTCGCGTGAAATTGCGCATTAGACAAATTTCGGTATGAATGCATTAACTGATTCAATCTGAGTATATAAATAGAGGAAAATTTTGGGGATACTAAAATTTCGAACAAAAGTTTTCGATACAATTGAACTCTGTCGATTCCAAGAAAAGTCCAAAATTTTCTTAATATTACTAATTTTCAGTTACGAAGTCAATCTCTGAAGCACCAATTGGACAAATCGCTTAGCAAAATAAAGAACACAAACGAAAAGAGATGAATTAAACTGGAGCTTACTTTNGCTTTGGTGACACGAAGCCCTGCGCACGTGGAGCTTCCAGGCCGAGACGGTTTTGAAACCCGTCGTCGGCCTGTTGCAGCCGGGCAGGCGGCAGTCTGAAATACAATAACAATTAGCAGAACTACATCAATATCAATGATACAACCAACTAGACTGACTAGAAATAGCCATTTGATCGTGATCGTTCGATAATACTTCATCAAATGGCTGACTTCTCTCTAACAGGTGCTACCTTCATGACATTCCTCATTTGTCCGTTCTGTTTCAACGATCAAGCAAATGAAGTTAGAAATTGAAAGGCGATTCGATGGTTCATTTAAACCATTCGATGCAATTGTCGAAACAAACATAAGATTCAACCTTTTCGGCTAACTGCTGAATATTTGTCAATGAATAATTATAATGAACAAAAAAAGATGAAATTATGTTAAGTAAAACTTACAAACTATGTTGTTGGAGCAGACCTCATATGGTAGAGAAGCTGGTGCCGCCAGCTCGGCTGCATGATCCGGCTGCAGGTTTGAGATGTCCTGCAGCCGGAATTGTGGCTGGGGTTTCGAAGCGGGCTGCCTTTCCTCATGGGGGTTACGTCTAAAACATATTTTAGTGTTATTACTATCCAGAGTCGTCTTGCTTTCTAAGGAAGCAGGAATCGCAGTGTTGATTCTATTGAACATCGGACACCTACTTTTTCCCATAACTATCTTCATGTTTTATATCATAAAAGAAGAAGACATTCCAAATGATTAGATTTGTTCGAATGTATACGATTAAAAACTTACAGTGAGTTAGTGTTAATCGAAGGGCGGGGGACTTCGGGTTCGGGACTTGGGGTGGGGGACGTTATAAACAGCTGCGGCGTATTTGTTGGCCGGGTACTCGGGCCGGATGAGGCGGCCACTGGCGCCGGGATGGGTTGATATTCTTCCAGATCTGCGTCAGTGAACTGAAAATCAGCACGGTTATACGATCAAAATGACTATATGAACTAAAAATGGCTAAAGAACGGTTACACAAATATTTATTTTTGGAAGTTCAAGCTAAGAAAGGTTTGAGACAATTTCATAAGATCATTTCAAGAAAACTCTGATTCGATTTCGGTTCTAAAAGATCAGTTTACCAATAAACAAGGATGAAATATTCTGAGGGAGCGATACAACTACGAAATTGTATTTCTTAATCGCAACTTTTCCATACATTATTTCAACAAATTTATCATGAATAACGGTTAAGGGGAATAGCTAAAACTAGCTGTCGTCAAGTGATAGACATTTCAATTCTTTATGTTCCTACACTAAGATGTCAAACTCTTAGGATCTATGCCTATCATTAGTAATCAATCACATGATTGCTCATTTCTGATAAAGTATTAAGTTTTTTCGAGGATTTCGTTTTTCACTAAAATGTTCATTATGCATATATGATCAGTGATAGTAATCATTATGATCGCAAAATCAACTCTGAACTTAAAAGAGCGACGAAAGTTCAGAAATTCACGAGTACTTACTGCTTCGGCGCCAGGGCAAACCATGGCGACGTATCCGGTTGCCCTCTTGATTGCTTGATAGATGGGGCCGGATACGCCGAAGATGTGCGATGGTCCACCAAAACCACCTTGGTGGACCATCAGTTGTATGTTGCTCATCCGGCAGATGGCATGTATCACGAGGGGGCTATTTAATCCCGCCTCGACCAGGTCGACTGCAAACAGGACTATTACATTCTCGTACAAATAATATCAGTTGATTTTGCCAGACATTCTACTAGACACTAGCTAGTAATTATTCTTCAGCTGGAATTTGTACTAAAACTATATGGCATCACTCTAGACAATCAAAATTCTCTAACTGACATTTCTACAGAGGGGGACATTATCAGAAGAGTATCTAAAGAAGAGTATCTACAAGGACAGTACCTAAAGGTCGTCCATTACAATGAAAGGACAGCTAGTAAAAGGAAATCTCTCCTTTCACTATCTGTCCCTGTAATGGACAACTTTTTTGCTAACGGATCAATGATAACGATGCTGAAACTAATTATTTCGAATGGAAAAATGCGGTAACTTACCATAATGTTGGAGTCCGAATCGCCTGGTGTCGAACCTGGCCAGATACAGCCAGCTCTTCCTGATGTACCCGGCCACGCGGTTGCGGTCCGGGAGCGTTATGATGGCTGCCAGTACCTGGATGAGGGTCAGGCACGGCAGCCACTGTGCCCCGGCCGCAATCAGGCTCTCCCCTGCGGGACGTGGTATCTCCGCTCTCGCCGCTGTTCCTTCACGCTCTCGCCTTCCGCTCATCATTCTTTTTTTTTCTAAAAATGGCCGCATGAAAAATCCGTATCCTTAATAATCATTTCAATGATATAATCAGATGAAATTCTTCAAGACTTCGGAAGAATTCAAGTTCTTATATGCTCCATTCACTGGATGGAATATGTGATCAAGTTAAGACGATAGTCGAATTGACAGATCAGTGCATATAAGAACACATTAAGTCATCATGAGCGCACAAGTACAAGCATAAGAAGTTACTTTCGATGCGATTATCGAAGTGACTGATTCAGCCGTTTCACACATCAATTTTGGAACAATTTGCAGGTTACAGTGAAATCCGAATACGTACAGAATGCATTCGGATTACAAACAGAAGAATTTTGCACTAATCGCAACGAAACCGAAGCGCAATTAAACATACCATTCGACTGACTAATCGCTCATCAGTCCATAGTATCCTAATCATGGCATTAGTATCTTACTCATGACAGTTTTGAAGAAGCCGAAAGTTTGTTTCTAAATCGAGATCAATAGCTCAGCGCAACGCAATCGTACATTGACGTGCAAATTTTGAACAGCAGATAAATATTATCTCATCGATTTCGAAAGGGGGCATCAGTTCAGTCATAATAAAATCAAGCGTAATCGATTCAAACTTCAGTTCCGTTGCTTATCTCAAAATAATACGGCATTGTTCTGATTCTGCTTCAAACGGTTGGTTGAAAGTGAGAATTTTTGCAGCAACTACCTGAGGCATCTGCGAAATTTAGCCAGAAACATGAATTCATGCAGCGATAGCTTGAAACAGTGTGCAGTGCTCGCTTATTAATGATCGAGAAATTAGTTCAGTGAACAAGAAGCACGCATGCGATCTAGTTATTGCAAGAGAAACAGATGTATTGCACACAAAATCTTCAGTTATTGCAATACAGAAATGGAAACTTGCAAATGCACATCAAAAGATTTCACTGGAAATTGAGAATTATTTGCTACTGTTCGGATGCAAATTCATGAGTAATTGTTCAACGTGATACAATCGTTTTAAATCATTTCTGTCTCGAAATTAATCAAGGTGTCAAATGTTAAATCAATTCATGTTTGATGTATTATTTTTGAGTAGTGATATCATCTAGATCACCATACTATTGAGGAGCTGAATTTTTTAAATGTTCAAGTTACCTATCGTTTTTGTCGGTACAATCAAGCGCAACATCGAGGACTCATAGAAATATCATCAGCGTTTCAAATTCAGTGTCAATAGTTAAGAGTCAGGAGAATGCTGGTGGATATTTGCAAATTTTGCGAGAATTTTATCCGAATCCATATCACATCAATCCCACAACTGCTTTGAAATCTCATTTCGTTACAGTTCGCTTGGAAAATCTCGCTGATCAAGCAATTCAATAACCGAAATCGCTCATATATTACCAGAAATAAGGTGTTTGCAATGGCATAAATGTCAACGAAATATGTGAATACTTTTTATCAAATTTAAAATCTGTCTTCCAGAGGATAGCAATTCCATGATGGTGATTTAAAAATCGAATGGAAAAGCCTTGCTTCTTAGTTTTGGTCCCAGAAAATCCTTAAAATTTATGTTAATGATAAGCATACACATAAATTGTTAGACTTAGACTGGAACTGTTTCTGTGAACCTGATCGATGTTGACATTAAGGTAATCAAGGATATTTTCGTATCAAAGCACAACCAGTTACCCTTAATTGAGAATTTTCAACGTGATTTCGTGATGCTGCGCAAATTTTCTGTCAAAAGATCGAATTCGTCACCGCAATTTTTCATATTATTCAGGATGTCATCTTCACGATGTCCAGTGATTTAGAAATTCAATCACAAATCGCAAATATTCAGGCAACGCAATTTATTCCAATCGCTCGCATGCACAAGTCAAAAGATCATATCAAATATCAAATGAATGTGGCAAGAGTTCGAATTTCCAACGCGGTTGTGTGATGAAGGAATCAAATTTGAACGAGAAAATACAATTCAATGAATGTAATCCAAATGCAATGCTCGAATCATGCAGCAAANGATCACGCAACTTTCTGTATCGGAAACATTCCATATCGAATTTAGCAAATGATCAAATCACAATGCAATCATATAAATAGTATCAATAGCCAAGCAATAAGATCAATGATACAAAATCATTCGCAGTTTCCTGTCATCATGGAAGCAGCAATAATCAGCGCAATGAGTCAAAGGTAAAAGAATAATGAAATAATGCGCATCGAAAAAGCTTATTTCAGATTGAGCATTGTTCATAAATATTTGGACAAATATGATATTTTTGCAAATTGGCGCAATGGATTGGGCTGTATGGAATACCAGTGAGAACATATATGGATTATGAGAAATGAATGCAATGATAGAAGTGAAGATGAGACATCTCAATTTCGGAACATTACGTCTTATCAATGGAATGGAAGTGAAGAAGTTAAATGGAAATTTATAAAAGATAATGAAACAAGTAGAAACAATAAAACGAGTAGAATTCGAAACATACATGTAATTCAAGAACTTTTCCTCACTCAACAAATCGATTCAATAATTTTAATTTGATAATATTATATTATTATTTTATTTCTTCTTGATGTTGTTGGTGTTGTTCTGCTGCTGTTGGTGTTTTAATAAATATTAAAAAATTCGGCGACTGGTGTTGGTGTCGGAGAACCTGCAAAGAAAAGTGTTAACTGAGTTCACAGCTGTGTTGCTTTGAATGACCTATCATGACATCAATCAAGATCAGCTTCGAAACGAAATCAGCAGAATTTTTCCGTAGTTTGTGAGGGCAAAGCTGATTTCTTGCTCCTAATTTCATTACTAGTTTAAAAAAAAACGAAGAAACTTACTTGATTTATTGGCAATTCAGTGAAAAACTTTTGCAGATGTGGTATCGATCAAGCGATCACAGCAGCAATTCGATAATAATATTAAATTATTGATAACAAAATTCAATGAAACCTGAAATTAAGCAGANTGAGTACAAAAACTGCAATATTGTAGCTCATTGGGACAAAATATCGAAAAAATTATGAACACAGAAACTGACATTCAAAAAATTGAGAACTTACAGAAGCTGTTTCACAGTCCGCAAGAAATTGAAAATTTCAATTCAAGTGATCGCCGGTTCAGAAACTTCGGTCGATCACGACGCTCCTTAACAATTGAATCCTCTGGATGGTGATGAGGATGTTATATTTCGATGAATTGATGACAAAAACCTAAAATTTACGCGATGATAAAGATCAGTAGGGTCATAAACATTTTAATAATTGCGACAGCAACGAGCCGAAGCACAGCAATGATTCAACCGGAGGCACGAAATATGCCAGTGTCGACAGGAATTAATAATGTGCGCGATCATAGCGATTTCGCGGAAATATAGAAGTCTTCTTCATCATCACTGTTGAGAATATAGAAAAGGGATGAACGATATGAGTACGTTAACAGTATGGAAATGAAAATTGAACTAAATACCTACTGGATGATAGTTTCAATTAATCAAATCCAGTTGAGAACGGAGCGAAATATTTCTATAACGAATCCACTTAGGCACTGATGTTGTATAAACCACTGAAGATGTTGTTGTGGCTGTGTGGAATTCGTGAACGATACGGCTGAAACTAGCACATTAATGAACACTAAATTGATGTAATAATGAAACTTCAGCGGATCAAGGAAATGCTTAAAAAGTGATTACTTCAACAAGCTAGATTAAACCCAAATTAAGAAAGGACCTGAAAATCATAGTGAGCGCAATATAAATGGAATAATCAGCAGAGCTAAGAGGGAAGCAACAGAATAATCTTCCTTTATCGAGTGTCTCCAGAATAGTCTCAATATTCAGTTTGCAATCGGGAATGGATGAATATTGTTGGTGAAAACAGATGAATGAATGAGTATTGTGTTGAAAATTGCAAATGCTCAGCAATACTTACCAATTAAATCAACCGAGTTGATTACAATCAGCAATTTGGGACGATATTTGCGATATTTTGGAGAAGCTGACTGTGATGTTATGTCAGCTGTGTTCTTACGATAGTGGTGGTGGTGAATTGCTGATGAATAGGATGTTGTACTAACGATTGGTTCTGAAATACGAATAAGTGATCAATATCATGAATTTTTCCAGAAAGTCATCGTATTTAGTAGTCCGACAACCTTATCGATTCTCACAACAGTGGTGGTAGTTATTGCATTCATCGCTTGAAACAGTGATATGTTCTATGATAATATTCAAAGATTTGTTTGAATCATTATAAGAAATGGTCAAGAAAATTGAATTTGAAGCAACGTACGATCAAAATTAAGTGCCTAATCCAGAACGCTGAGCAAATCGTATGATAGCAACAAAGCGATTGATAGCGATTTGGTGCGGGCCACACCGAGAAATTAATTACTGAAATTAAGATTAATGATGAAGGATGTATTTATCAACACCTTATTTCAAGCGATTCGTAAAAAATCACGGAGGAATCACAGGAGTGACCGATCACATGGAACGATAAGGGACACTTTGCTCTGAGGATTCTTATTTATGTGGGAGATAAAAAATTATTGCGATCTTTTTATGTGCAAGAGAACAATATTGATGACCACGTCTGGAGTCTGCTTCCAGGACTTTTTTTATAAGGGGAATGAGAGGGGGGCTGGGGCGTAGAAGCACGAGCCTTGCCGACTCCCCTCCCCACCTTCCATCATTGACTACGATGTGGATGATAATGGTAAAGTTAGAAACTATATGAAAGTATTGAAAATTCACGAATCAGGTACTTTCTTGCGAATAATTGAAAGGAATGTCGTCACACGCATAGTTGCTATTCAGATATCACTGATTGTTAATGAACTGATTCCGTTATGATTGGTGTTGAAATTATTAAAGTAATCTGTGAATGAGTTTGAGAGGAGGATCAAATCAACTGCATTTCGCAGAGGCATCATTCGTTCACTAGAAGTCTCATGACAATCGCAACATCAGACAATGTCCTCATAGTTTTAACGAGTA